TGACATTAACGGCGTGTGCATGTGATGAGCTGACCGTGTGTGACATTGCAGGACTCTTCTAGCATCTGGCGACATTATTTTTCAGAAAGGGATGGAAGGGCTCAAAGTTCATGTAAGAAACCCTCCAATAGCTCGGTGAAATAACTTCCCTGTTGCTTTGCTTTGGTTATAACGAACTCGCTTGTTTACATGAAATGATTATTTTCTCTACATTCCTCTGGCTGGGGATTAGCTGAACTTTCCTGGGAAGTTTTCTGGGCTTCTGGGAAATATTTCTTAAACTAGAATTGAGATTCTGTTGAACAGCCCAGTTGGGAATTGTGAAGAAGCAGTTCAATTAATTAGCATCTGGTCTCTGAACCTTATCTAACTGTAAACCTAAACAGGAGGGCCTTTTAGACTATTTTTAAACTTGCTGCAAGGGGCATCAAGCATTGCTTGCTGCAGGAAAGTAAAGCCTTTCCTGGGCTTTTTTGCTTCTTTTAATGTTTTGTGTGTGAGCTCAGCTGTTCCGTGGATTTCACAGGTTTTTATTTTCTTTTTTTTGTTTTTTTTTTAGGTGAGAATCAGCACTTTGGAACTCTGTACCAATGTCATCACTGGTTCGATGTAACCACCACGCTCCGTGACACTACAAAATGTTTATCTTTACGACAATGTTTCACTGGTTTTTATGTAAATGCATACTTAACTGTACAGTCATGCTTTATTAACTGGGGTGACAGGTCAAAAACTCACGTTTCATTTTAAACATTGTGGCACGATAAAGAATTTGATGTTCAGCAAGTCACTGTTCTTAACATGAACTGCTTTCCTTTGGATCTGTTGGGCTTGGAGTGTTTTCATAGATATCTGAAAAAATTCACCCTTTTTTTTTTTCATCATGTCTGAAAGATGCTACCCTGACTATTTTTTGTTCTTAAGTGATACATTGTTCTTTTTTTTTTTTTTTTTGTCAGAGGACCACTGCATCTCATTCGACATTTTATCGCTCTTTTCAGATATTTGGTCAGTACTTTCCCTTGATTTAAAAAAAAAAAACAGCTTCTTGAAAGAAAAATAAAGCGGTTGTGATTTCTTAAATGTATTGTTGATATGAACTTATATATTTTGTATATTATTTAGTTATATTTTTTCACATTTATTGTAAGTTTTTTTTTTTTCCATCCATAACTTGTGGGAAGCAAGAATTGATGTTCAATTCTTGTAAATTCACTGTCACTTGCTTTGAATAGTCCCTTCACAAGTTCAGAAAAACACCAACATCGTTTTGAAATTCATGAAGTGTTGCTTTTTGATGGCGGGTGTTTTCCCTACAATCGGAATCGGCCAACAAAAAAAACCCCGATCGGTGCCAATTTTTGCTATAATTTCAAGTTTTTATTACGTCATCTGCATAATTTAATGAAATTATGTTCGAAAAACAAAATATATGAACTACTGACAATGTGGCAGGCTCAGAAAACATATTAATCCAGTTTCTTAGCAGCTGTAAAAAAAAAATAAAATCGCATAATAGGAAGTGCCATTTTTCGTTGCAGGTTATTAGAGAGAGTGCGTGCTCTGCTGGGACTTATTTCCCCGAGTCTTCCTCTGTATTTATTTATACCGGTCGGCGAACCATGTCATAGGTGCAACACTGCCACCACGCGGTTGAACAAAAAATTGTGAGGAGAAACAAATGTGTTTTTTGTTTTTACAAGAAAATGATGAATCCAGCTTTTATTCTGATATGTCCCAAGATATTTCATTATTCCGTACTTAGGTTAACGTAGTCCATGCTCATACTATTTTTCACATACTCGTTTTTTTTTTTCCATAAAAAAATTATTCTGAAGAGTTCATGAGGCATGTAGGCGGGAGGACCAAAGTTTTCCCTTCGGGAATGCGGAAAAGGGGGATTCTTCTGCAGCCCCTGTATTCTTTGTGATCTACCTCCAGGCATTCTGAGTGTGTTTACCTCAGGAACAAAAAGGTAATTTGGTTTTTATCCAATCTAATTTTCCTCGCGGTTGTCGACGTGTGTTTGATGTTTCGCCGCTCGTGCAAATAAAGCGACGGGTTTAAAAATGAGATGTCGTGGGTGAACGACCGATGCAGCCTCAGAACAGCTGCAAAGTAAGCGGTAAGAAGAACAGCTCGGCAGCTCATAAGCTTTGAATACACACTTCTTCGTTGATTTGGGACACTGACCAGTTTGTTTTCACCATCTTGTGTTTTGGTGACCATTTTACGTCAAAACGGTCATCCATCAGATTCATCCTCACCCGGAAACTTTCTTTGTGCTTTAAACATCTGCTTTTGGTTCGTATAAGGTCATTTTCTAATTTTGAACTTGGAGCTGAAGCATAAATTAAGTTTAATGTCATTGAAACATCCAGGTGGGACACATTACTAGCCACCAGTATCGGATTCAAGGTCACTGTCATCCATCCATCCATCCATCCATCCATCCATCCATCCATCCATCCATACATACATACATAGCAAAATGTCCTTCTCAATAGCGTAAAAATGTTGCCCAAGTAAATATTCTTGCAAAGGTCTTTTACTAAAGAAACTTGCTACTCTCTGGAGTTGCTATGCCGCTTCTTTAACTTGTTAATGAGTTTAACGAAATATAAGGTCAAATGTTTGCCAATGTATTTCTGAGCAGAATGTGCTCAGAAATACCATTTAGATATACAACAATTTGGCAGCAAAATTTCATTTAAAAAAAAGAAAAGTACAGGTTGTGATTTTTGTAAATAACCAGTCATTTGTCCCAGACCCTAGGATGGCCACTAAGGGTTCTGTCAGAGCGGACGAGGGCCTGATGATGATGCAGGAGCTTGACGATCGGCTGAAAGAACAAATTGACAAACTTGAGCACATTCGTCTCGCTGCAGTTGAAGTGAAAGACAACTTGTCTGGGGTGCGTTTCTTTCAACCCTCATATTTAATAAATAAATCTAGCTAAATTTGTGTTTGTATTCCATGTGATGCTTTTTTTCCCCTCTCCTAAAGTAGAGCAACAGTGATCTGAGCCAGTCTATCAGTGACCATTTGGAATGGTTAAATCACCTATCTGATCGAGTTGAGACTCTTCACATGAACACAGCTGTTTTCGTTCAGGTAGGAAGCAGATTATTACATTCTTTTTGGGAGCTTGTATGCTGTGAATACGTTCTTGCTTGTAGATCCAGCTTCAGCCAGGTGCATCGTACTTTTTCTTCTTTTATTTATGAACCTCTCTCAATGTCTCCAGATGAATCCAAAACCTCGGGCGTGGACATCCAGACGGGGTTCAAGACAAAGTTTCCGTCTGGGACGTCAGCAGGCGGACGATGCTCTGTCTGAGTTCGGCTGGTCCCCAGTTCGTATGCGGCGTAACAGCGATGCTGCCTCTGAAATGTCCTGTAATTGGTGAAGGAGAACCTTGAATCTTTTACACACCAAGGGACCAATGTAATCCAAAAAGTAGAATTAGGATTTAGCTATTATTTTCATTAGGCTCTCTGCTTTTTCAGAAAAACAGTTTCCCCCTTTTTTTAAATTTTTTTATTTAAAGTAAAAAGCTCTGCCTTCATCAGTCGGCACAGTGTTTCCCTACCCTGGTCTTTGAGGCATGCTACATTTCTTTAGGTGTTTCCCTGCTTTAACACGCCTGATTCGGATGATTACAGTTCAGCAAAAGCCTATTAACCAGTCGTCAGTAGAGATCAGGTGTGCTGAAGCAGGCAGGGCAGTGTGCCTAGAAGTAGCATACCTGAATTTCCAAAAGAGCACCTGCATATGGTTACGACGAGCACTTCCATTGCTGCTGTCTTTAGCTGTACGTTAACGATGTCCCACTTTAAGAATATGAGATTTCTGAAAATGTTGCTGTTTAATCCTACAAAATAAAACAAGTAGTTTTTCCAAATTATGTTCTGTTGGATTTGTTCAGAATGCAGCTCATAAATATACGTACTGTTGTGAATAATTTTGTAGCAATGATATAAGTAGATGTGTTTTTATGTTTTTTTTTCTCCCCACTTTCTGATGTAATGCTCACTTGTAAATAAGAAACTATCATGTTGTATGGCAATCAACTTTCCCATGTAATCAATGAGCCAATGGAATAAAAGGCTGATTGGAACATAATTGTACCTGAAAGGTCTAAACAGGAACATCAGACCAACAACAAAAGCTTATTAGCAGTCAGTTGTATTGGACTATGGAAAAAGTCCAATATTCTATGGAAAAGTCCAGTCCTGTTTACTTTCAACTGCTACTGTAGCTTGCATAATCTGAGGAATAGACAATTGAATTTTAAAAATTTCAAATTATAATGAGATCCTATATGGAAGTTATGATTAAGAGAGCATCAATATTTTAAAACCCCAGTCATAAAATATGGTGGGGCTCAAAGAGTCTGTGGTCGCATATAAAATGACAGACTTTTGATAAGTTTGGTACTAGCAGAATTTCACGTTTAAAAATGTTGCAGGGAGCTAGATTTTATAGATGCACCAAAGAATCAGAATCAACTTAATTCGCACATTTTTGGGGTACTAATTAGAAATTTGATGTTGGTTTCTGTAACTGGCATTGTAATGAAACTGGCAATGAAAGTACGGTCATAAAACATACAATAAACAAAACAAACAAAAATGTTTAAACCTATTGTTATAGGCGAGTAACTGACTACGCTGCCTTGGAGATATAGATTGTATTCGGCTTGGGGATAGATCTGAGGGTAAAAACAGACTGTAGCAACAAATAAATAATAATAATGAACATAAACACAACAACAATACAAGAAACAAAAAAATAAAACATTGTGTGTTTAAAAAGAAGTAAACATAGATACCTATAATCCTACTGATATTATTAAGTAAATTTCCGTTCATTACGAAAGCCATTTTGTCGGAGAAATCTCATTCATGTCTTATATGGGACTAGTGCTCGATTATATGTTCTAATGATTTGCCATACACAAGCACTACTGCGCTCAAGCAGAAGAGGGCGCTGTTGTTGACCCACCGTGAGGTCGCTGTTAACCGTAGGTTATAAATAAAGGTTTGGCAGAACGCGTGGGTAATATTTCTGGAAGGAGCTGACTCGCTGAACTACTGCTGCTTGTACATTGTCTTATTTAAAAGGTTCACTTCCAGACAGACTGAGCGCATTTGAACTTTTGTAACGATTCACAAATACCACGAAAACCGACCGGACCCTTGAAAACATGGCCGAAAGCGACTGGGACACGGTGACTGTGTTGAGGAAGAAGGGCCCTACTGCTGCCCAGGCCAAGTCCAAACAGGTCAGTGGAAAGTACGAGTAAAACCGTTTGTTTGGCTTGTTGGTCGTGTCGTTTCCCCCTTGAATCGTTGTCTTGCGAGACATTAAACGGCGCGCTCGAGTTGTCTGCGTTTGTTGTCGTGGAAACTGGTTTTATTCTTGTTCATGTGTCGGATTTCTGCATCGCGTGGTGCGGCTTAAAGTCAACATATGCGACGGTTAATGTTGCTCCACATATGGAGGTATTAATGCTGCCGATGGAAATGTTTCTTGCAACACAGATTATTCTTTGACATGTGTGGAAGTGAAAGTATGAGCAGTGCCGTTTCGTTTTTAAGCGTTAGACACACTAAACAGTTCACAAAACGTCATTATTGGTACAGAAGTAATAGTTGTGGAGACAACAACCAGATGAAATTAGTGTATTTATCTGAACCAATCAAACATGTGGTTTGAATTCAGTTGAAAAATCTAGGTTTGAAAGGGAAGTGTCCAAATGATTAGGCTGAGCTTGGTATGTTACAAAAGTTTGTAGTTATAGTATGACAAAATGTGAATCACGTGACGTGGATCTAAGTACATCTCTGTGCAGTGTAAACAGTTTTGTAGGCAAACATCTGTGCCAGAATGACACTGATCTCTCTGATGTGGAAATATTTTTTTGTTTTGAGTGAGCTGAGAGATAATGCTGAGTGGGTATAAATGCCAGATGGCAATGGTGCCATTTTGTTGCGTCAATACACCAAGATAAGCAGATTTGTTATTTATTAGCCTCATCCTTGGAAGTGACAAACGAAAGCAGATAGAGCTTACCATAAACATAGTCATAATTCAATTTTACCACCAATAAAACAGCAATTAGTTTGGAGACATATTGTTTACCTATCCTCTTTTGTTTTTGTCTTTCCTCCAGGCAATCACTGCTGCTCAGAGACGTGGGGAGGATATTGAGACGACTAAAAAATGTAACTCGTTACAAAAAGACAAGTTTTAAACAGCTTTAAGTAATGTTTATGCAATTTTTCGCTCATCACACTAAACTCAAAAGCTTCATTTGCAAGTCTGCTAAGTGCCTCGAACCGGTCCTTGTCACACAGGGTCTGCAGGACAGAATAAGCAGCACCTCGTGACCAAAAATACTGCCAAGCTGGACAGGGAGACAGAGGAGCTACACCACGAGAGGGTTCCTTTGGAGGTGGGCAAGGTCATTCAGCAAGGCAGACAGGAGAAGGGAATGACCCAGAAAGACCTCGCCACAGTGAGTCTACACACTTTGCATCCTGACCTTCTGTGGCTACTTGTAATGTTTTACTGACGCTCTCTGATAAACACACTTGTAGTTATAGGAGTTAAACACATTGTCTTAGTTTTGACTTGTTTAAGCATGTTTTCTGACCTTTTTTTACACTCAGAAAATTAACGAGAAGCCTCAAGTGATTGCCGACTATGAAAGCGGAAAGGCGATACCCAACAACCAGGTCATGGGAAAAATTGAGAGAGTCATTGGTAAGAAAGGTTCTTGATGTACGTAAACACGAGAACACTGCATACAGTACACATTATGCAGGACAAGAAATACATGTGGAGTTTTAATGTTGGGTTACTTACTGGAAGACTCTCATTGAAAAGGTGAACAAGATTGCTGTCTGAACCCCTTTTTTTTCAATTTATTTTAATCTTGAAGCATTAGTTGAAATCGTTAGACACGCCACATTGGTATGGGTCCAGAACTGAACGTGGAAATGGGTTGTTTGCCTGTTATATTTGACAATAAATTCAGAATTCAGAAAAATCTTCTACTGTGTTAATGGAAGTCTAGGTTGTAAATTATTAGTTACAGTGTGTTCAAAGAATTTGAAAGAAATATCTTATGTTTAGTATTAAGTTTTCTGTCTTTTTCCATTTCTTATTTGTTCTTTTTTTTTTTTATGTCAGGCCGAAAGCTGCGTGGGAAAGATATTGGCCAACCCCTGGAGGCTAAACCCAAGAAATGAACACAAAGCCTCGAAATCAGCCCTCCCCATCCCCATATGTGACCCCTAACTTAACCCTGAATCCTTTCCAAGGATTTCTTGGAAGCCTCTTCCAAGAAATCCCTATTCCTGTACCCATCTCCCATCCCACCCTGCCAAATATCCCACTTCTCTTCTCCAATCCTCTTCCTTACCTGGGCTGATCTCACCTGCGTCCCGCCCGAGGACCTGGTGATCGACTGTACCACATGCTGCGTACAAACGGGTCATCTGTAACACTTAATGTAAACAAATATGATTGAATGCATTTTTTCTCAGTACATTTCTTTCACCTTCTAGGCTTTTAGCATGACGGTGGTAAGTCATTCAGAAGCTGACTTATTTTTCATGATCAAGCAAGTTTAAACTTTCAGATCTGAGCATGTTGTAAAACCACAAGTGCTTGATTACATCTTTTTTTCACACTTTTAGGACAACTTAGTGGATGTTAATACCGTGCTTGAAATGTTTTAATGCTAAATAAAGTTTAGCAGTTTATGATGATGTCAAGTTTTAAGATTTCAGAGCAAAAATAATTCTCATATGTTCATTTGTAAAATTAATACTGATGGGATGTTATTTACTTTGATGCACAGACTTTTTTTATATTCAAAATCTGAAATCTTGAATGTTATGACAAATGTGGTCCACCAGGTGGCAGAATAAGACCAAAATGCTTTTGGGTGGTCCTGTAAAACTTGCTAGGCTTCTTATTTGCTCCATAAAAAAATTAAATAAATACATCGGATAATACGTTAAAGAACAACTTAAAAGTAACCATGTATTTAAAAAAAATAAAAAATCAATGAAGCTCAAAAGAAATAATATTCAGTTGGAATGAATGACTGGATGGTTGGCTGAATTTATTTTTTTTCTCATCTAATTAAAGGCTGCTCCCACAGCAAAACTGTAGTTGAAATGCAAGTATTTGATGTGAAAGCTGCTGAAGGTAGATGAGGCCATGATTTAACTGTAATTTTGCTGCAGTTGGATTGTAGGCAAGTTTTGCTGCAGAAACAGGAAAAGCTACAATTTAAGGAAGAGGAAACATCCAAAGGAAGCTGTAGATGTGTCATCCAAGCATGGAAGCGAATCTGAAGTCTGTATAAGAGTGGATGACAATTGAAAAAAAATCTCTACACAGATGCACACAAAAAAATCTTCACATCTATGACTGAAGTGTAGGAATTAAAAAAATTGCATCATTTTATTGCCATATAAAGAAAATGTTCACATTTTCTGTTTAAATATTTAGCCATAACTTGCAGGCTTTTTCACTTGCCAAGGAAACAGCCCTAAAAATTAAAATGGAGTAGGAATAAGTATTTGGCCCTTTACAGGCTAATTCTATTTTTGCATGTTTTGTTGCCCAAAAATATTTCAGGTTAAAAAGTATAAAATGCAGTTTTGAAATGATTTTCTTAAAGGATGTGAGGGAAAGTGACACAATTTTTTATTTTTTTAAGTGACACAAATCAACCTGGCTCTACGATGTGGACAAGGGAATGGCTGCTTCCTAAACATCACTGGCTGTGCCATCCTTTGTATGAAAGGCATCAAACATTTAATTTTTCTGAAAACTGGTCTTTGATAATGCTGTGGAGGATTGTTAGCCCTGTTGCTTAAATTTCTTCACATTTATTCAAGCAATGCTACATGTAGGTAATAGATTTTCTCAATTTAGATTGAGGCCAGGTTTTTAACTGAACCCTTTGAAAACCTCATATTAATATTTATAGGTTTTTTGGCTTTTTGGATGCTGCATGACCTTACATTCAGGTGCACCCCAAAGCATCTTCTCCATGATTTATTGGCAACATGATCTCTTTTTGTAGTGCTGTAAGTTTTATGCCGGGAGTAATGGGGTGCACAACTTCCAAAAGGTGGGTGGGGGTTCTGGTGGGTTAGTTGGGTACTTGACACACTCCTTTACTTGGTGGGAGTGTGTGTGTGAGGGAGACGGGAGACCAGGCCACTCCATTGGCCTAAACACCCTAGCAACATGGTTCCACCTATGACAGAGGAGCACCCGGTGGTTTGAAGGAGCGACGTGAAGCAGAAAGCTGTGGGGGTGGGCCGGTGTGAGGGGGAGTCGGTGGCAGCACAGAGGAGACACATGGGTGGGTGGGGGCATAGGGCAGATCTCTGTTTTGGCCCGAGGCCAATTGAGGTTCCTCACCACAACCAACTTGTTAAAGGTTGAATAATGGGTGGTGCACCTGCATCTTTCACAACTGCATCTTTTCACAACAGCAAACATTTGCACTGTGAAAATGCTACTTTTTTTCTTCTTTTTTTTTTTTACACATTTGTTTCACCTTAAAACTTTTATTGAGAAATGTTAGCATCTTTTTAGTAATTCGCAGAGAACACATCTCCAATTTAGTCATTAATATACAACTTTTACATAAATTATTTTCTCTGTGCCTTTATGTGTCAAATGTACCCTTATAAACTTCTATGTTTCTGAGGAGAACCTGAACTAAAATGTTCACTTTATAAACTAATTTGTGATAAAACAAAAAAAGCTATGTACATATTTATATAACTCAACTGCATTAGCTTCTCACAGCCACTTTCTGCCAACACTGGCAGAATATAGTTCATTGTTGGAAGCATGTTTATTATGTTGGCCAAAATTAAAGCAACAGCACTGGCAACAATATACAAAAATGCACTTTATGGCTGCAATAGAAAGATATTAAATTGAATATAAACACATTGTTTTAAGCATCTGCTCTTGTTACTTGTTAAAGTTCCAGTAGCAGCTAAAGTGATGCTCTACTTAGACTTTATTGTGCATAAACAGAATAAATAAGTGGAAAATCTGCTTATATTTTGTGAAAGTACTACACCTATCATTTTGCTATGATTTGTTTGTAAAAAAAAAAAAAAGATCTTTGCCACGGTTTGTATGAGAATATTCTTCAGGCGCAATAATCTTCAGCACCACGAGGTGGGGCTGCAACAAAGACAATTCTACACCAATGCCCATTTTTAAAAATATCTATTAACTTGGACAAAGAATGTCAAAACGTCAAATATAACTGTGGGAAAATATATGCACAGTTTATTGAGCGAAGTAAATAGGAGACACACACAAGAAAATCAAGAAAAGGAAAATCAAATCCGTTATGCATTAGTTCAGAGCATGTTTCTTCTTGTTAGAAATCTAAATTAGTTGTGAGCAAACACCTTCGTGCAGGCTGTTTACTAAACAGTTCATTTGAACGTTTTTATTGGGGATAAAAAATTAAAAAACAGGAAAAAAATGATCATTTGAGCCTTTTTCTGCATCCAACAATAGTCAAACAGAAATGTATACAAAAAAAAAAAGAGTGAACTCAGAAAAACTTCCAGTGACTTGCGTAGGAAAACAAAAATATGTCATAAATAATACCTGCTGCTCATATTCATGGCTTTTTAAGACCTGCTTGGGCTCACGTTTGCTTTTGAAAATCATTTACAAATAACTGTACAAAGTTGTTATCGGAACATTCTGTGAAAGGCCAGTTTCACAAAGGACAAATGAAATATATTTACACTTGGTTCGAATCACTGGAACGTATACAAAGAACAAAAGGCACCTCAACAAATGTCAGAACGTTTAAATGTGCGATGGAAGTCAGTCGGGCTTGGGAAAACTTTGTCAGTCAATACAGAAAGAAGCAGGTGTGTTTGATCGTTCTGGCCAGTAAACCAGTAACCAGTTGCTTTCACAGTACAGCACTATGTGCCCGCGGCTTAAAGTGTGGAGAAGAAGGTACAAGTTCAAACATCTTATTTTGAGAAGAAACTAGATGTAAATGGAGAAAAATGAGCTGCATGTTTAGACAACTACGCGTTATAGACAGACACATTATCAGGTTATAAGTTAACAAGCTTCCACAGTGCCTCCACATCTATTTATTAAATACACAGAATGTTAAATAAGAAACTTTGGTAATGGTACTTTGTCAATCATGTTTTTGTAGCGATGCACCTAGAAAGTTGGCTGAAAGCTTGATCAGCTTTGACCAATGACCAGCCTGATCAGTGAATGCACCACAACAGAAGCTACCAGGATATGCTGACAACATGATTTGCTGAGGAAGTCGCTACAGGTGGAAGTCGTCTCACAGTTAGCCATTCTTTGTATGGCTAACTGTGGTAACTATACTGAGGGGAAACAAAGATGTGAGGAACGTTTAAACTTTCGACAATATGGTTTCATCTCGGCTGCAAGAGAGCAGATAACGGGGCGCTGATTGAGGTACAACAAAGATGCAGTGGTTTTTCCTTTCAAGCTACTAACTTCTGCCTGTTGTAGAAAATGCTGCTTTTGGAAACTTTGGCAACCTAAGAGTTAACGTCAGGACCGAGATTCTGTTTAAATAACCATGGAAACAGCAGTGTCAGGTGTGCCTGATCACCAAAATTTGACCCTAATGCTGGTAGAAAATGTTAACTATGTGACCCTTTTTTCAGATGACAGTAACCTGGTTTGCAGCAATTTGTCCCTCTCACACACACACACACACACGCACGCACACACACAGATGAAGCCTTTACTCCCAATATAAAGGATTAAACACTCATGGCAGAATCCTGATCTTCTATTTTCTGCTCTTAAGAGAAATCCCTATCAACAGGTCCAAGCCTTTAAAAAAAGCAGATTTTGTAAATTAGGCCCCACATTTTGATTGGTGCATCTCTACAATGTCAGGGTCCTCTTATCCTGTCTTCACGGAGGCTGCCATTGGTGAAGAAACTCCAGCACAGTGCGTGTAGACGGTTTGATTTATGGCTCTCATGCACGCAGAAGTAACATTATCAGGTTCACAGTTCAGTGCGTAGTGTCTGGACATTATCTTTGACTCTCATTCGCACGTTCACAAGTTCACACATGACTTCAACGCGGCTCGCACCCGTGAGCTGTCACTTTAGGGAGTAGAGCAGTTCGGCCGTGTGGCAGAGAGACAGAGGGTGAGCTGTGGAAAAGTACTGACAGCACAGCCAATCCTCCAGCTCCGCGTTCCTCTCTGGCTCCAGCGAGCGCTCGGCGAACTTCATCATCAGCAGGGCCCGTTTCACATCCAGCCAGTTGAGCAGGCCTTCGTTTCGGGACCCGTCGACAAAGGCCCCGCCTCGCCTATGCCGTTCCCACTGCTGCTCCATCAGGTCTTTCCGGGGGCCCCAAAGCAGGCTCTGTAGTATCCGCTTAGCCTCCTGGATATGGATGCGCTTGATGGGGTCGGGTTGCAGGAGGAGCTGTGCGAGCCTCTGGAGGCCCGAGGAGTAAATGGATATAGGGGGCACAGGAGGCAAGTCCTCGCAGCGGTAGTCCTGTTCCCTCAGCGCTGGACTCACCTCAAACGGGTTGGGCAGGTGGAGAAGCTCGTAGATCAAGATGCCAGCCTGGAACTCGTCAAATTTACGATACTGAGCAGCAGAGACGATCTCGGGCGCCAGTCTGGCGTGGTCGCGCTTGATGCGAGGGTCCCCGTTTGTCGAAGCAG